ATATATATATATGAAGGTGTTTTAAACTGTTTCCACACTCTTGCAATATTCTAAAGGATGTTTCTAAACTCTAAACACTCTAAAATAACACAGCATGTCATGATTTCAGCTCTGTGCCTCCACTGCACTCAGTCACCTTCAAGCGCTCTTGGCCACGCCCACTTCTCCGCTCTGCACGGAGAACAGCTGATCTGCTGCAGGAGGAAGTTTCTCCTGCAGTATGGGCTGCACAAACATGCAACAGATGCTAAATAGTTTAAAATCATTTATTTTAAATAAAAATGCCATGCCAATCGTGTGGCTCAATGTGTCGTGTCCATTCTTATTTTGAAAAACCATGATAGAGCGAGTCTGCAAAAAAAATGAACTGCAAAGTAGCGAGGACTACTTCCCACATTTTCTAAAAATAGAGCCAAGAGGGAGCAGGTACAGCGTGAAAAGGAGGGGGTTTAAAACTGAGCTCTGCGGGACCCCACACAAAAGAGGAGCAGAGGAGGACACGTGATCAGCAAGGCAGACACAGAACGTATGCTCAGCTACGGAAGGCCTAAACCAGTCCTGCGCTGTACTGCTGACACCCTCCCCCCATTGTTTCTAACGACGAAGTAAAATGCTGTGGGCCACTGTGTCAACAACTGTAGCTACAGAGAGACCGCAGGTTCAGGAAATGCCCCTGGCATCTGCAGGAACAAGAAAATCAGGGGCCGCAGGCTGGAATGTTCCATGATGGCCGCCGCTGCAAGGTACAGCCAGACGGTGGTGGGGTCCAGCACATGCAGCGGAAGAATGAATCACTTTTGAACACCATGTTTCCAATCTTAGTGAAATAGTTCACTTGGAAAAAAGCTGTGCTGAGAACATTTTTATTGTGGAAATTAAAAGGCCTATCCTGATCACAAATAACACCAAGGTTATTTACATTGGAACTGAAGGTCAAATTAATGCCACCCAGAAGAAGTGAAAGGCTGCAAAGTTTATTCCTAAAATGCTCAATAACCACGACCTCTGAAAAGGCAGAAAATTAAGAGAAATCCAGGTTTTTATGCCTCTAAGATAAGCTTGTAATTTAAGTAACTGATTAGATTCATCATATTTCATGAATAAATATATAACTATGTATCATCAGTTTAACAATGACAATGTATCTCTTGCTGTCTAAAAATTTTACTCAATTCAAGCATTTATAATGCAAAGATTATTGTTCCGAGCACTGAACCCTGAGGAACTCCGTGACTAACTGTTATATGAAAATGATTCATAAGTTTTCCACTGAATAGCATCTTCATTGTATAGCTCACAGCAAATCAAAATGGCCGTTTCATAAAGTCTTGATCTACGTCCTGTCTTGCAGTGGTACCAGAGCTGGCTCTGTGTTTTGGGGCTGTGTCTTTATGGCAGATATGTGGGGTGCATGGCACCACGTACTGTGTCCCTGCTGACACTTTTTTGATGACACTGTCTAAAATCTACTCCAGCATGCTGTGTGAGAGAGCGGACCCAGGTACAACAACTTCTATGTGTTGTGTGTGTGTATTGGTGTGTGTGCTGTGTTACAAATGTGTGCATGTTTCCCCAGTGCTCTCACGTCTGGTTGAGAAAGTTCTGGACCAGAAGTTTCTGCGGCGAGGCAACTGGAACAAACTGATGGTGACAGTGTTCCAGCTGTGGAGTTACCTGGAGTCCAACAGCGTGAGGAACTTGGAGACGCACATTGCTGAGCTAGCAGAAGAAGGTACACACATGAAATTACACAACAACACATGCTAAAAGCTGCGATGCCAGCAGGAAAGTTTGACCCTCATGATTACAAGAATCTCTCTATTTTATTATCTACTTGTTCAGTAGCTGCTGTCTATCTCCAGCAGTCATTGATACACCCTGCACAGGTCTCCAGTCCATCACAGGGACACATAGAGATAAACAAGACAAACAAACATTCACTCTCTCTCTCTCACCTAGGGACAATTTAGAGTCACCAGTCAGTCAAACATGTATGTTTTTGGTCTGTGGGAGGAAACTGGAGTACCTGGAGACAACCCACGCAGCACGGAGAGAACATGCAAACTCCACACAGAAAGACCATGGACCGGGATGTGAATCGGCAACCTTCTCAGTATGAGACGGCAGCTCTACCAACTGTGCCATCGTGCCGCCGATCATCAGTCCATCCCAGATTATTCATTCCAATACAAAAGATGAACAAATAAAACTGAAACAAATTTAGATTCACATCCAGTTACATACATTGTGTTTCACTACAGTTAAAATAAAGTCAAACTCAGTGAATTAAAACATGTCACACAAGTTGTACGTTGAAAAAAGCCACCAGTTTCACTGAATCTTCCCTTCCATGCCTCAACCTGCTGCGGGTTGAGTGGACCTTCAGAATCACTGGACCAGGTGAAACTTATCTGAGACAGATTAGAAATATTAATATGGAGCGTAGTGCGAGGACAGATGTGGTGAGGTCATGTGGTCAGTTTGTCTTCCAGCAGTCTAAGCCCATAGCAGCAAAAACCAAGGAAATCCAAGCCAACCCAAACTGTGGAAGAGTAGACTAGAAAAAGACTTTTTGGTCCTCTGAGGGAGATTGGTTAGTCTGTCCATCTGTCTGCCTCTGTCCATCTGTCTGCCTCTGTCCATCTGTCTGCCTCTGTCCATCTGTCTGCCTCTGTCCATCTGTCTGCCTCTGTCTTAATTATTTTGTGCACAGTCCTGTGTTGTTCATTACACTGTCCAGCACTGTAAGTGAATGCAGAACAATAATGAAATAACACAATGATTGATTCAAAAAGCGTTCAATACAAAAACGATACAATGATTGATTACCTTCTAACAGTGTGGCTGGTGCAGAACCTGTCGTCAGGAGACCAGGATGTGATCATAAATGCTCTACGTCGACCTGCAGAGTGCAGCTTGAAGAGGGAAGGACTTCAGGCTGTGGCAAAACTATTAAAAGATCCACGGAGCAAAGTTTTGGCCTCTGCACACGCTGTACTGAGAACCCTGGCTGGCCAACCCAGACAGAGAGAACAGGTGATGGATGGATGGATGGATGGATGGATGGATGGATGGATGGATGGATGGATGGATGGATGGATGGATGGATGGATGGATAGTTGATGGATGTTTGATGGATGATGGAAGGATGGACTGACAGATGGA